GCCTCTGGGGGCTTTTTAGACTCTCAAAAAGCCAGACTCCTTGCGGCGAGACAGATTTCCCCCTTGTTTGTTCTCCATATGACACATAGCATCACTCTCACTACTAAATCTTTTGCTCCTTCTCTCTGTCCTCCAGATCTGCATTTTACAAGAGGAAAAAAAACAAGATATGTCAGTGCTGGTACTCCGATTTTCTTTCATTGGTTGCTCTGTTGTCTCGTCTTCTATTGACAGTAAAAGACGCCATTGTGTCATGTGATGACAACAAAGTGCAACCCAGAGAAGTTGAACTGTGTACAAATTTGGAGAGTGCTGTGAAACACTCCAGTACCTCGCCTCTAACTACATCCAACCTTTTTCTTGTGTGATGGCCAGATGGCCCTGCAGCCCGTGGAACAGATTTCTCTCAGTGTGTGTGTTTGTGTGTCAAACTTTTTGCCTGAACAGCGGGGCCTTGTCAGTCAGATCAGACTGGCGGGCTGCACCATGCGGCCGTCGTCATCATGAGAACAGGTTTTTCCCTTTCAAACCACATGCTTGATGTTAGCGAGTGAGAACAAAGGCAGATGAAGGAGCACAAGAGAGACAGCAAGTGACAGAGATTGTGCAATTGATCTGTCTTTGCCACAGCTCGCCCCACCTTCTTTCCCCCGGTGTGGCAGAGGAGGGGGAGATGGGATGCTGCACCACAGGTTTCCAACAGCAAAGCAGAGTTCAAGCAGAGATTCCTCATTAGGCCTTGAAAAGGTGGAAACCAACACGATAAGCCTGGTGCATGTGGTAAGGATCAGAGTCAAGGATGAGCTACCACAAGAATGATAGCCTCATCCAAAAACCCAAGGACGCTACTGCCTAGTGATGATGCTAAACATAGAAGTAGATCATTATTTCTTTCCTACTCTAGACTTGGGGCCACAATCAATCCTTATGGCCCAGTTCTTCTGTAAGGAACCATCCTAACTGTAAAGCAAGAAACGTGACAGAGGCCACAGACAGCTTGAAATATACAATGGTTTTTAGCCATGCTAAAACACAAAAGTAACTATAAAGTACTGTAAATGCCGTCAGAGGAGATGCAGACAATTTCAAGTGTCTGTGTACAACGGTATGATCTGAAATCATGTTGAAATGACAAGTATAGTAGCCTACAGCTGTAGTGCTCAATCAGGGTGTCGCTCAGTATCTGCACAGTATCTCAGAAAACAATTTGACATTTTATGACAAACGACACTGTCACAACAATGAAAATCTGTGCAGAAAATGAGAACACACTGTGTGTTTATGGAGAACATAAAACTAAAATGAAATGGTGTAACCCAAACTTTGCTCACAGCAAACTTCATATGTCCCTGATTGGCTACATCTGCTCAAAGCCACTAATACTCTTAAGCCTAAATCCAAACATTAATTTGGGAAATGAAACCCCAACATTCAAGCCAAAACTAACTGAGGCCACTGAATCATAACCACCAACCGCAGATGTTAAGCGCGACTGACTCTAAAACTCATTATCAATCTAAATTCTCTTCATCTGATCAAACAAGCACAGCCAGTTATGACTACATCGATGCTATCACAGCCCGGCCCATGTTTAGTGTGTTGTAACCTGGAAACCGTGCTTGCCAGGTCCCCAAATAACCTTCACCAGCCCCCTCCGTATGGTTTTTCTATGTGGCTCATCCAAGTTCTCTGTCTCAAAAAGACGAGAGCATCTTAAACAGTGTTTATTCCACTGAGCCATCACTGATTCTGCTACAGGTTTTAAAAACAGGAATTAGCCAGAGGCAAATGTTAATTTGTAGTGTCAGACAGACATATCCACAGGTAACGTCAGAGAGGAAATAAAGGGTTTTAGTCAAAAGGAAAAAGTTATTACTACAGTTCCCCAGAGCTTTAATCAGCACTTTCTGATTCATCAACTGCCTTTTGTAAAGAATATAGTACTACAACAAAACTGTAAAGTGTTTTAACAAAAATATTGTTTCTCTCAAGAAAAGTTGTGTTTGCTGAAAGTAAAGACCAGTAGGCTCACAACATATAGACACTAAATTAAAATTAAATTAATTTATGAATAAATAAGCAACAATCAAGTGAAAATAAAATCTCTAGAAAAGTCACATCTATTTTACTCTCTTTGACTGATTTTTACTGTTAATGGTCTGTTTTGGTCTGAATACCAACCAACTCATATCAAATTATCAATTTACTGACATATTTGACTTATTGAAATATTATAATAAAGCTGGATTCATACTTGATGCAAGGGGTAGCAGTCCCGCTTCTAGATACCAAGAGCATAGGTTTTGTTTTATAGTTCTACATCAGATTTCACCAGATGAAATCTCCACACGAAACATATCTATTGTCTATATATGTGCTTTAATTAAATTCTTTATATAATACATTTTTATACTCTCTCATTTACGCTGTGATACAGAGTGATGGTGGGAAGGCCCGACTTGTTTCAGTATACTCAATATGAGGCTAATCCATGCGGTCACTGTATTTACGGTGAGCAGAAGATTTGTAGAGGAGATGTCTTTGTTAGATGTGCGTTACTGAGGAGATGATTAGAGAGCTTATTTTCAACTTGCTTCATGTCGTCCTGAATCTCTACTGGCACCAGAAACCTGTAGGAGAAAACACATGCAGCCCACGCTGACCAGTTACAGCTCTTACAGTCCCCACATTGTATTTCTGTAACTGCTATAGCCCTGACGTTAGTTAAATCTTTAAAGAGGCACACGTTGGCATAACCTTGTAACACTGAAGGATAAATGGAGCTTAACTTGTGGGTCAAAGAGGAACTTTTAGTTACTGAATACAAACACATGGTAGCTCCACTTTAATTTTGAGAAGCTGCAGAGCTGCAGTCTCTATTCATTCAACTTACACTGTAAATTTCCAGTTAAAATGAGGCTTTTTGGTGACTCTTTTCTCTCTCTCTCTCTCTCTCTCTCGCCTGTCATTCACCGGTCTTGTGCAGAGTTTTGCGTGCATGCTGAGCTACCGACAACTGCACGCATTTCGTGATTCCTTGTGGGTCTATTTAAAGTAGCCGGCTATTTAAAAACGATAAAATATTCTTTGTGTGGTTCATCAACGGTGATAAATTATCCGAAAGTCCCGCGAGGTGCGGACAATTCGGCACTACACCAGTGAAGCTGGGGCTTGTTCTCTTCAGCAAGTGTTCCTCCACTGCCACTGCACACATACACACGACGCCTACACATGTGTACTGACGACCCAGGGTTAGGATTACAATTTTGGATTTATTCACGCACTTTTATTGAACAATTTCAAGCAATTTTTTTTCTTTTTACATGCTTATTTACAGTATTAAACATTGAAATGTATATTGTCATAGGCTGTATATTAACTTATTGGGAGAAAACTGGTTGTTCTATGTAAAATCAGTGGAATCAGGCCCTGCCCATTGAAGCATTGAATCTTCGACTATCCACCCTAAAATAGAGGTGATAAAAGTGTGTTTTATGATACAATTCCGTCTGATATTTCACCAAGTTTCACATCCAATTCACAACTGTGATTCTTTGATTGGATTACATTAAGAGATAATTACTGTCATTAACATCACTGAGAAATTAGAAATGAAATGATGCATTTCTCCTGGGTTCGTACACTTGTATTTCTGTAAATTTCGACAGTTATTTACCACATACACCACATAAAACTACAGAAACATGTTTTCCCAGTTAGTAACTGTAACTCCCACTGCATCATGGGAATTGTAGCTGACGTTGTCCATTGTATACAGAGCCTTACTATATTTTTTGAAATTGATGTAAATTACTGTACTTAACTATACATAAAACTGTCAACTGTTGTTTTTTTTTAAAAGTACATTTGTGTGATGCTGCATCAAACATTCCCAAGGAATTGCCATTTGAAAGATTATTTTATGTAATTTCTGCTTTACTAGACAGTTCCCAGTTTAAAATGACTGGATTGACCAAAATCCTGTTCCTGAAAATATGCACAGGACAGAGGAAACGACAGAGAGCGAAAGGGGGGAAAAAAGGTTCAGGGTTACAACAGATGGAGCGCGTCTAAGTCGTTTTGATATAAATCCTCTCTGATTAACCTCCATGGTGGAGATAAAAGCAGCGATATGCCTGAAACGACTTAATAATGTCAGGCACAGTGTAAAACACACACCAGCGGCTTTATACATTATGCACCGAAGGCCAGCAGAGGGACTCCAGCGAAAAGATAACATGACCTACCCTCGAGAGAGATGGAGCGACGGGAGGAGAGAGAGTAAGAGAGAGATGAGACAAGCAGGCAGGCACTTGAAGAGGAAAAGAGGCTGGAGACAGAGGAGGAAATGAGAGGGTCAGCGATGAGGATTTAACAAGAGTCTATCACCTACAGTACGTAGTTGACTAAGGGGAGGAGGAGGAGGAGGCCACTCCAAAGGCCCTGAGGGCTATTCACACAACTCCCATTAATCTGCACATGATTCAGCAGAGAGAGAGAGAGAGAGAGAGAGAGAGAGAGAGAGAGAGAGAGAGAGAGAGAGAGAGAGAGAGATATCACCTCTGTGGTCTGCTGTATCATTCAGGAGAGACATTTTATATATACAAATATCACATATTGTAGTATAAAATTTTTGCACATCAGTAACAATTTAAGACTTGTCGTGATATTGAACAGCTGCCTAAAAGATGTACTAGCCACTTTGAAGGGACAAGTTTTCCAATAAGTTTTTATCAACTGCTATTAATTAACATTTATGAATACTGGAGAATTTCCTGTGTAAGTGACTGCTGGGTTGACTACTTTCCATGATTTATTGTAAACCAAGCATATATATGGCAACTATACCTGTCTATTGGGACTGGAACAATGTGAGAGTTGAAAGATTCTGATATTGTTGGATTACAGCTGCCAGAAGTGAATTTTGTGATTTAAGGATTTTCAATATCTTTGATTTGTGTGCTCAAATGTTTAACAAAAAGAAAAAACAGGGTCTAATGCCGGGGTCAACAATGATTTTCTACTGAAGGCCACATCTGAAATCTGCCACCTTCAGTGTCTGAACACATATTCAGATACTAACAATAATTTCTGCTTATAAAAACATAAGAAAATGTCAGAGGCACATTATATTATTAAACTTCCAGTGAAATAAAGTAGTTTTGCCATAAATTTTACAGTAGTAGCCTACTTATTAACAGAAATACTGTATATTAAAAAAACAAACAAACAAAGAGACAAACAAGAACAAGTAAAGAAGAAGCCTAGTTAATGGACTATTACATCTGGGCTATAGTTGCTGGGCTTGAACAAGTGTACTGGTCAGTGCTTTAGAGATACAAATACATACACATAACACAAGCTTTAACACAGGCTTACTGTTACATACATCTTTTCCCAACATATTCATTAGAGGAAATAAATACGGGGCCAAATCCAAATCATTCCTTCTTTAATTTTTTTTTTTTTTTAAATATCAAAGTTGCCAGCAACATTTTTGTTTAAATATGCTTTGACCTTGCATTGTTTTATACTTGTATTATACCCAGGACTGGTCTAGTGTGTTTGCTTTTGTTTTGTTTTTGTCATATTTTATGAATCAGCATTTTTAAATGTGGAAAACTGAAGTCTCCACTGAAAGCTGGGCTCGGGTAGCAGCTCCTTAACGCAGGCTGATAAAGGGTTTTCTCCAGGGTTTATACTCTCAGTAAACACAGTACACCCACACCACACTAGCAGGACTTTTAAAGTCATATATGTGATATAAAATAATAATCATAACAAAATAATATTCACTAGCTGTGGTCAGAGACGGACTTTCATAACGGAGGTGTGGGAAACTGAGTTTTTAATAAAAGTAACATATTGGCATGATGTGTGCGCTCACAGATTTATCAGTCCTACTCTATTCTCAATCTCCCAACAGAGAATTTCTGTCTGGCATATGTAATATTTTATGCAGGTCAGTGCAGAGCCACAGAAATAATAACAACAAAACGGTGTTTGCCGTTTCGACATGTGGAGAAGCTGCAGCGAGGACAACATGATCTAGCTTCACCTTTCATGTCTTGAAAGAGGCGAGCCATTCAAATGGCTCCTCTGAAGCACTGCGATGGCTCCCCCCAAAGGGTGGGTGATTGTGTCGGCCTCCGCCCAGACACGGCGGCCGCGCCTCCATCTCTGCTGCTCTTGAAGATACCGCTGTGGCTCTTTTGGCGGGCCCGACCCTGGCAATCAGCAAGACTTCAAACCCCGGCGCCACCCTTTGAACAGTGCCTGAGAACGTCTGCTGCCAAGCACCGCTTTCCTCTCAGCGTGGAGATTAGAGACGCAGACGAGGGGAAACACTGGCGCTTTCAGATGCTTTTCTGTCTCCTTGTCAAGCAATGCCTGTAACATAATGTACTGTCAAGGGTACAATATGCTGCTAATACCAATGCAGAAATAAAACAAACTCACTTCTGTACACAAATACACGCACAGATCAAATGTTACAAAAATGTAAAAACATTAATAAGCACAAGATTACACAATTAACCAAAACAACCTCAGATGTAATGGTTAAATACCAGTGGAAATAAGTATGTACAGGATCTTAAATCTCCTGGCTGACCTTTTGGTTGTGTCTCACCAAAAGTAGTAGTTTTTAGAGTACAAGGCTATTTGACTTTTTCGATGGATTTTTTTGCAGTGTGGTGAGTCCATTTGCTTCTGAAGGAGTCATTTATTCACCGGCCTTCCACCTGCTGGTGACTAAGTGCGGACCAGACTCTGTGTCATGTCTGTGGGTACTGCTGTGGCCAAAAGGCCCTACAGCCAGCCATACATCATCAGATATTGATACGGTTCCACCACAGCACCATGGCTGACATTTGATTCATAGCTCTGGGTCTTTTTGAATTCCTAACAGTCAACAAGGGATCATGGGGAAATGTCAATGTTGTGTTGGTTTGGGGCGCCTCAATGACATGAGGGAGATTGGTAATAAAATAATGGAGGCGGTCAGGAGAGGTAGCTAAATTTGTTTCAAGCTAATGGCCCTTTGCTGTGTGACTGTTTGTGTTTTGGAGGCAGGATTTGATATAATTTCAGATTGTATCCATTCTTATTCAGATTTATTCAGATTCTGTTTATAAATTTTGGTTTCAGCCAATCCTGCCTCATATTTCTAGTATAGCTGAGTAGGAAAATATACTACAACAGACATTTGTCATGAATGACAGGGGACTTTGGGATTATCTTTGGTTAAAACACCTTCTAAAGAAAGTTAAATGTTACACACTTGTTAGCATTAGCTGATTCTGGGTCATTATGACTATAAAAAAATCACATACCATGCACTATATGCTTTGTCATCGTACATGGACTTCCTTGCTTGCATGAAATTTTTTTCACAAATTGTTTTTTGCACCAGCAAAGCTGCTAGTATCCAATCCCGAGCCACCCTGAGTGTACACTGACTCATACCTGGGGTGTAGACAAAAATCGGATCCATGTAAGGCTTATCAGTTCAGTTTTGTATATTTAAAAATCAGTAATAGAAAATTGGAATATGTAATGAAATGTTTCAATTTTAATTGTGAATATTTATAATAATTAATTATATCCATTATAATAATATTACTGGGATGCAAAATGTGAATGTTGTTCATATTAGTTCATTATTTGTAGGGATGGGGATCGGTAATTTTTATTGATATTGATACCCTTATTGAGACTGCTTAACGATCTGATTCTTTATCGATACCACTATCGATACTTTACTATTATTTAGTGAAGGTTATTTGGTAAGACCAGACCCAACATGCAGGTAGGCCTGCACGGTATGAGGAAAATTTTCAATGTGCGAGAACGTTATATATTGAGATGACAGATCACTTGCAATAAATAAACATATATTGAAGTGTACATATTAACTGCCTGGTTGTTTTTAATTTAATATTTTAATTACAGCTAAATGTTGTTTCTAGAGCAGCAACATTAATGTTTACAGCAGCAAAGTAACTCAGTAACTTCACAAGTATTGAGTGACGTTTAGAAAGAACAACATCAGTCTGTATCAGTCCCTCTTCCTCTCTCGCTGGCTGCAGGTAACGTTACCAGGTAGAAGGAGAAGCGGCTGGTTTGTCTCAGCCAGCAGTTGAGTTTTTAAGACTACAGACTAGTCTGTTCTTCAGACAGACAGCTTTCTATTTAGCTTGTTTTTAACATTTGGCTAATTCCAAGCTAGCATTAGCTGTGCTTGTATAAAACATACAGGATGAGATACTGAGGACAGAGATGATTAAGTATTGTCTTTTTACTTGCGAAGGTTTTATTGCACGTACTTACAGTAACGAGCGTAGCTGTCATCAACTAACGTTACAGTAGTTTGGAGCTAACTTAACCCTCACCGTAACGTTATTCCACTGCGACGGCGCAGCCTCTTGCTCTGCTACCGGTGTGTGTGTGTGTGTTTAGGAGCCGACAGAGAGCAGGCAGAGACTGCAGCCTGATGATTTTCTTATCCATTGCGTTGCAAAATAAAACCGAATTAACGCTCGAGACATAACGTTACATCATAGGACCCGCAAGTCTCGATAGCAGTATCGATAAGCTCAAACCTTAATGATTTTCGGGTTTTGAGAAATTTTGGAACCGGGTCTCGATCCCCATCCCTAATTATTTGTTTGTGTTTATCTGTTCATATTCCAAAAAGTATTCACATTTGTTCAGATCCCTTCATGCAGGCTTATGTATTGTTGTGGGCCAGTGTGAGGTTAAATGATTAATGTCAGGTGAGACCCCATAACATAAATATTCACTGATTACAATGTTTCAGCTGCAACTGAAATGTGATGTACTCCTTTGTGGGGTTAGAATGTTCACCTTAAGTGGGTTATGACAACTTTTCAAATCCCCCTGGAAAAACTGAATGCATGGGTGTCAAACTCCAAACAAAGCTGTTCCTGTTGCCATTTTGGAGATGTCAGGTTTTCTCTGAACAATTCACATATGTTTATCCTGCAGACAGTTGCTATAAGTTTATACCTGCCCTTTGCAGAAAATAGTACTGCTCCTTTCTGCACTGATAAATGTGGCTTCTAACAAACATCCCCTAACAGAAGAGGCTTAAACAGTACATGATCCCTTTCACCGCCAACCTTAGCGCGCGCACACACACACACACACACACAGCTTGTGCAACATAATATAATATGCACTTCACAGCCTGCGGATGAAATGAATGCAAATGTGTGAGAAAGCCTTTTGAGCGTGCCAGAGAAATCAGTCTGTGGCCTTTGCTCTTTTAACATTTAGTAAAAATCCATCACGTGGCGTTTGCAGAGTAAGCAGAACGGCAGATAGACTGTAACAAATGCACATGCTCTCTTTTGTCACCTTTTCTTTCCTTTCTGGCAAACCTTTCAAGTGCACACACATACTTCATAAGCTCCTGCTGTAGGCCAGCAGAGAGAGCAGGAGAGGCATGACAATAGACTGAAAGGAGAGTCAATATTGAACAAAGTAGAAAAAAAGTGAAAGAACACTGGAGGTCTATACCTATTGTGTATGTATGTGCGTGCATGTTGTACTTTTAAGCGCATGTTGTACTTTTAAGTCCTTTTTGAAAATTACACACCAATGCTCGGTGCTGTCTGATGTGTCAGACAGTTTTTTTAATTAATGCGTGTCAAGCTACTGAGCGTTGTACCGGAGATTTAACTAGCTGTTCTTTCTTCCCATTTCATGTTTTTTGTCCTTCCCTGCATGGTACCATGCTGTTGCTATGTTAGTAAGGTGAAGAGTGGTCAGAAAAAGAAATACAAAGCAGAGACAAAGATCATCGTCTCTCTCCACCTCCGCAATCTGTGGCTGCATCTTCCTTAACCACTGGTTGGGTTAAGCTTTAATAACACCACTGAGAGAAAACACTGCTATGATATGCTTGAGTGCCTGGCTGTTTGTGTGAAGTAGCTGCCACATCTAAACAAGCCAAACCTTCAACTGTTTTTCTAAAAAGTGGTTCAGAGGAGAAGGTGCTTGACAATACGGTTGTTGTGGAAAAGAGAAAGAAAGAGAAAGCAAGAAATTGACAAAAGGAGAAAAGCTTTTCTCCTTTGGTGGTGCATACATACAATGGCCATGGATGTCACCACAGTCGGTTTGTACTGCATAGGTAAGTGTGCGTGTGCTCATGCTTACCTGTATGAGTACCACTTCATTATGGGTGAAAGCGTGGGAGATTGAGAAGACTCGGAAATGAGGCAATACAGCACACAATGTCACAATGCTCAGCGCTGACATTTGACACAGCAATTAGAAAAAACAAAACAGCAGGTAAAACGATGCCGCAGATTCTAACCCTCTACACATAACTGTACATGTATTTAAATATTTATGTATTGTAAAGACAGAATTTGTCTACCAACTCACAAGAGATTCATAGAAAACGATGCATGAGTTTTGTAATTTTTATCTCATTGTATCAGAGAGTATATCAATATTAGGGATGGTCATTTCAAGCTAAAGTACACTTTGATGGTCAATGGGAAAAATTCAACAACGCGAAGATCTCCCCTCCACGCACACACACACACAAAGGGAGAGAGATGATAATCTACTTTATTGGCCACATACAATTTATACACAGTACAATGCATGCAGAATTTGTTGTGTGCATTTTGCCTATAATTAGGAGCAGTAGGCAGCCATTGTGCAGCACCGGGGGAGCAGTTAAGGGTTCAGGGGCAATGGTCTGGTCTGTTCTGGACTTGACAATGGTCTGTTCTGGACTTGAACTGGCAACCCTTTAGTTCCTAAGTCAAGTCCCCGTGGACTGAGCTAATGCCACCTGGCATTGCAATTCAGTGAATTAATAAAAATTTGAAAATCTAATCAATACTCAACATTTCCACTGCCGCAGTTTCACTTAAAAAAAAACACAAGGTGGCTCTTGGACACAGGAAATGCAAGTTCTAAGTATGGCAGTGTTTCCCACAGATTGACAGCATAACTGTGGCTGTGGGGAGGGGGCAGTTGACTGTGAATGTAAATGCTCCGTATTTTTATAGTGCCTTTCTAGTCTTTTCGATCACTCAAAGCGCTTTTACACTACAAATTCATACACAGAGCCTAAGTGCTCAAACAGAAACTAACATACACATACATTCATACACTGGCGGAACAGCTACTAGGGGCAATTCAGGGTTCAGTATCTTACCCAAGGATACTTTGACATGCAGCCTGGAGGAGCTGGGGATTGAACCGCTGACCTTCTGAGCAACGGGCAACCTGCGCTACCTCCTGAGCCACAGCCGCCCTAAAGACTGTCACAGGTGTTATGCTGAATTTTGCATGCCTGCCGAGAATTGTATGAAAATGCATTAAAGTTCTGCTTTTAAATGCTATACTATCCTTTGTGGGGTTCATCAATAGTGATAAATGACCAGTATATATTTCATGGACTTTAAGAATCGTTAATATATTATTACACTTAGTAAAAGTACAATTTCTTGAGATTCAGCAAAAACATGTGGTGTTAACTGCGTTCAAGTGTCCTAAAAGGACCTTAAGAAGTGAACTGCATAATTCGGCAAAACAGATATTGTAGGCTACCTACCAAAATTTGTATCCACCTCTTTTTTCAGTATAACAGAGCGTTACCTCCCGCAAGTGTATGCAATTCAAGGCAGGCATGCAGAATTCGGCGCAATACCTGCACTGCAAAATGTCACTAGACCTCGTGGGAGCAAGGCCTGAGTAAGCTCACGCAGTCTGCCGGAAGTAGATTGTGTCTCACTTGACGGCGCTGTTTTTATTCCCCTATCTATCAAGTCGGCAAGTCAGCCAGTTATCTCGAACGCATCTGTTGACTATCAGTTATACAGCATGGTAACTTCGACAGCTGTTTTCCAAAGTTAACATAGCTATCCTTATTAGCTAGGCTCCTTACATGCTTGCTAATAACTGTTTTGAAGATGGGTCTCCGACATTGACAGTGTTGTGTTGGACAGATTTGCGCAGCAGTGTTTATGATACCAACCATTCAATTCACAGACTGGTCTGTTGTCCGTGTTTGTGAGAGAGAGAGAGAGACAGAGAGCGACCGAGTGAGAGGATGTGCCGAGCGAATATGCGCTGCGCAGCACTGCAATCAAGAACGATTTTGTATATTTGCCTATGTATGGGAAACACTGTAAGGTATTAGCAAGCTAACTAACTCCTTTTACTGCGCTCTACTGTGAAAAGCTACAGTACTTGCGCCATGCACAGCCTGTAATCAGATTGTGTATACTCTTTCAGATGTCTGACTGATTTATTCCGATTACATCTAACGTGATTTTTTGTCTTCATTGTAAACAGATCCACCAGTTGCTCTTTTGTTGTTTTTCTGACAAAGCAGATGCTCAGGGGTTGTTTGATGTAGTTTTACGGCACTTTCCGTCACCACTGGTAACCATGGGTGTGGCCAAACCACCCAGAGCTGGAATTATGAGGGTAACAACTTTAAGAAATAGGAAACCCCATAAAGGAAAACTTCAGTATTATAAAAAAAAAAATAACCAAATTTGGAGATACATGGTTTTCACGGGACAGCGACAATAACACCTGATTAATCCCTCATGTTATTTCTTTCTTTTTAATTACCTCCCCCTACATGCATTTTTTCTTGTTTATTTTGCTTATGGTTTTCACCTTCACTGTCATGTTGTGTTTAGCTCTAAATTGCATGTAAACATGTTCCAGTGGGTGATAACATCCTCACACAGAGGGATGTTAGGTCACACACCACTGGCATGTTTTAAGCTAAGTCGACTTTTGTTCATGCCTTCGGTGCATGAAACTCTCCCTTGTCAACCTATACTGTATGTATCTGTCTGCGACTGTGGCGTTTCATTTCTTCATCAGCAGGAACCGTGCTAGTTCATCATCCTGCACAGGAGAGTGCAATACAGGCCTTTTCTAAATTCAGCTAAGATCCCGACACAGGAAACAAGGCAGTGGGAATGGATTTCTTATGTACATGCTGACGTACAACCAGGTGCTAAAGCAATGGTAGAAATGTATTAAAAGCGAGAATGTGTGCAGTGGCAGTTAAAGTTATAAACTATGCTATTAGTAATTCATCATCTTTTTACTAAATGCGATGGATAAGTGCAGCAAGATGGGTCAAACTTTTCTTAGTCTAAAAGCTTAAAAGTCACTGATACTGAAAACTTTTCCTTTCAGCCACTGACTTAAGCATATGATAACTATTCATGCTGTGAGCTGTGGATTTTTTTTCCATATAACACAATCTGTCAAAGCTTTATCACCGCTCTCTGTGAAGCCAATCGAATGGCTAATCAGCCCATCTACCCAGAAGACTTTGTTCTAAAGTTCACGCCGCTGAGATATCTTGAAGCTGTACGTACGAGCCACCTCTGTGATAGTGTGAATGACTGATACAAATGTTCTAAGGGCATGATTTGTACTAGCCTCCAGAATGGCTTTTAT